TTAGGGTTTAGGGTTTAGCCCCAAATTGAGGGCTGCAGGGCTTAGGGGTCTGTATCTTGGGTCTCAAGCCTTAGGATCTTGGAACTCAGGGCTTAAGGTTTCAATCAAAGATTCTGGAGCTTTAGGATAAAACTTTGCTATACGGTTAAGGGTTTAGGGTTTAGGTTTCCATGGGGGGTTAGAGAGAAGACCTTTCATGGAGGGAGATCCCACTTTTACCTCCTCCGAGGGGACAAGGTTCACCACCCCTGCACTCATCCAAGCCTGAACCCTTAGCGGTTCGAGGCTTGGGGTAGTTGTTGGGCGAAAAAGCTTTCTCTGGAATTTGAAATGACATCTTGTGACCGCGAATGGTTAGAATTGATAAATCATTGTTCGCGGTGTTGCTGATGTTGGTGGTGTGTTGTTTTTTTGGTAGTGCTGCAGGGGCACTGACACTGCCACAGTCGGTGGCGGTGGCCGCGGTGGCGGTCTGAGGGCAGCGGCGGCAATGGCCGGCTTTGGCGTTGATGTTGATGTTGCTGGTAGTTTGGTCATGGAAGCGGTGGTGGCAGCGATTGTGGTAGCAGTCGTTGTCATCGCCACTTACCTCAAAAAGACCGTGGCAGTTTCCAGAATAATGGTGTTCAGCAGAACCCGCACTTGTGTGCAAAGAGATTGTATTTTCCGCAAATAAGGTGCCCAAAATGGACCCCAATGTACTCTAATCGTTTCTTCTGGGCCTCCCGAAAGGGGTCCACCTAATTTTGGGAGACCTTAGACCCTTAACCTTAAACCCTATATATCCCCATATAACCCGTACATAAACCCCATATAAACCCTGGACCCTGAAAGGGCACCCCTTATCTCCACAAAGCCCCTGGATGTCTGGCCTGGCTGTCCGACGCGACCAGCGGCGGAATGACATCCTGCCAAATGAAATAAGTCACATTTGGGGTCACAGGGATTATATGTATAGGGTTTACATACAGATGATAGAGTATATAATGGGGCTGTAGAGGGATAATGGAAAAGTAAATGGAAGCTACTTGGGGATGAGCATTTAGGGGGTTCCCAAAATTAGAGGCGCCTTTGAGGGGATTACAGGGGTTATATGTAGGGATATATAGCAGTTTCCCAAAATAAGGGGACCCCAATATAGACCCCAAAATACTACAGTCCTTATTATGGGGACCCCAAAAATTGTACCCATAATTTTCGGAAACCCCCATATAGGGTTTAGCTTTAGGGTTTGGGGCTTAGGGCTTAGGAAGCTAGAGAGCTATAAACCTCAAATCCTAGTATCCCCCTTAACAACCCCGAGGCTTTAGGGTTTAGGGTTT